GTATGCACAAGTCGTATATCCATCTCTTTTGTCCCTCTGTTTGGCCAGGCGTTTTCTACAGCGAGGAATAAGCTCACACGCTTTCAAGGCAGCGCTGGTCTTAGGGTAGGCTAGGAGAGCATGAGGGCTTTGGTTATACACACTTAGGTGGAGAACCTCAAGTTTTAGCCTGAGAAACAGAACCAAAGAAGTGGAAGGGCCTGAATGCAATGGTCAGGAAGGATAAAATCCTGGAAGAGCAATTCCTTAAATCAGTGGACTTTCACTACTGCCAGTTTCCACCCACTCTAGTAAAATACATCCTCTAGAAAAGAAGTGGTTTGTAATAGACAGTCCACACAATGCCATAACAAAGTGATTTTATTGACATTCCTCTATACTGATATGGTTGAATAGAAAGCACAGCCTGAGTATCATGTGACATTTTTTCTGTCAATATAAGCAAAATCAGTCCAATAATGAGGACCTTTCCTGCCATTGACTTTATGTAGTCTTTAACAAAACCGTAACAGACGTTTCTGTTAGATAAATTGGAAGCTGCAGGGAATTTGGCTAATGGTACAATATTTACTATACTTAGTATCTACTATCTACAGGCATCTGTTTTTCTACTAGAACAAAGGAACTACATGACTCACTAGAGAGAAAGTAACAATCTAATCTTTTGGACCTTGTGATAACTGGAAAACCTATCTCAGATTGAGTATATTGCAGTCACTTTTTTTTTCTTTTAATAACGAACACTGAGGTACAGCAAGAATAATAATAAAAAAGCACCGCATTTGTTGTAGAAAGATCTGTTGGTCTGCATTTGACTGAAAGTGTTTAATCTTGACTGGGAAGCCCTATTAATATTACTGTGGAGACAGGGCAAATTCTTATTATTTTGACAGAAATTAAACAAATCACCAGTCAAATTTGTCCTTCTGGAATTCCACAGACTGTCACAGGATTAGTAGCGAAGGATGAGTTTAACTCATCCTCTGTGCGTGTATATTTTAGCTGATTTCTCATTTGATTTTCATGTCCACATTCAGTATCTGACTGTTTCCAACTAGAGGTATGTCAACTATTTGTTACAGTGAAACTAGAACAACAAAGCACAAACCCAACAAACACCCCCCCCTCCCCACAGGCAGTCTCTCAGACTAGACTACAACCTCAAACCTCAGCTACAGTTCATTGACAAGTTCACAGGTGAAAAGAGTCCTGTGTGTCAGCCCTGTACAAAACTCAGGATTTCTCTGTTAGATGTAGTTTGGATCACTCACTTCTTGCCTTGTGATAGCCAGGGATCTCCCTAGAACGTCAAAGTCAAGTTCTGAATATCCACAGCCAAGTGACTGAAACTGAACACTCACATAACGTCCCTGAGGCTGAAGTGACAGCATTTGTGAGGTTTATAGAGCAGACACAATTAACAGCAAGGTAGGGTTGTTTGTACTGTATCGAATCCTGCATAGCTTACGCGGTTGAACAGTCGGTGAGACTGCTGCAAGGTGGAAGACTTACTGATGGTTTAAAATACCTACTTTTGTTCTTGTATCTTCAGCTTAACGCTAGTATGGCAACAGGATTTCATAAACAGAAATATCCCTTTCCCTCCCTCTACCACCATCACAACAGTTACTCTGAAAAGACACGGGCCCTCTAAAACCAAATGCACAAATTACCAATATTGATCGCTCCTATCGAAATCCACAATTCACAAAAGCTGTCAGATTGCCTATTCTGTTTGTCACTTGCATTTTAAAATCTATCGATGTTGATGTTGTATCTTAATCTAGCCACCACCATATTTAAAGGGAACTGAGGTGAAGGAGCTGAACAGATTATTTCACTGTAAATCTGCCTGATGGAATATCTTCTAGTCTTTCCTGTGGGAAAACAATGAAACCAGACATTCTGCAATTAACAGTCAGTGTTTTGCAAATGAAAGCGCAGACCTGGGCAGAGCATGGATGATTACACGAGTGAGCATTTGAATCGAAAGGTGAACAAGGAAGGGTCTGTGCCTTGCATATGCGTAACTACAACAACAAAGTCAATTAATTGCATAATGGGCAGGTTAAATAACAGGGCAAGGGAGATGGGTTCCTCCCTCTCTCCTGTTAGCACCAGTCACTGCCTCACTTACTCCAACGTGACAGTGCCACCGAGATGCATGGCTTCCCCTTCTCTCCAGACTGGGACTGGGTTCAGCCCATGGTGTGACACAATGAATGGAGAAATGCACTGCGAAGCATTGATCTGGGTATCCTAGAGATGATGTCAGTGTTTGAAAACCTACTGGGGTAGGGCATTTGGGAAGAGAGAGGGATAGGACTGGAAGGATAAAATGCAAGAGAAGCAGCGTATAGCGTTCTCTTTCTTTTATGAAAATAGTCAACTGTCTTCCTCTATTCCTGGCTTTAGATGCAAAAATACTTGCAAGGAAATCTGCATGTCATCACAGTCACCCAAGAAAGCAATCTTTTACAAATACTAGGCTGTGTGCTTGAGAGACAGCTCGGACCAAGGATTTCGGTGGGAAGTAGCTGGCTAGACTGTTACATTTCCCAGAGCAGGAACACACCGGGTGCTTGAGATGGCATCTGCCACACATGGACACGCAGAACACTCAATTCTAGCTCAGTGTGTGGTGAGTGCCAGAACACCTCACGAAGAATTTCAGGAGAAAGCCTTCCTTCTTTCAATCAGTGGGGTTTGATGCTGTCTCTGAAATACAAACTTCTTTTATTATGCTACAAAAAATAGTTTTACTTTTTCTTAATAAAATATAGTTTTGAAATACTTAAAAAAATTTAACTACACAGTATTGTAAAGACTGGATTTTTTTTTTTCTTTTTTACTCTGTTAATGAGACAGCTCAATACACTATTTTCCTTGGCCAAACATGGACCAACCAATTGGAGACTTCTGTTTTCTTCTATTGTTAGAAGACATCCCACATTTGACATAATGCAGGTAACTTTGTAACATCACCAGGAATAAAACAGGAACCACAGGATTTTGGAGGAATCGCTGGATTTTGGGACCCAGTGGTGAAGAAGCAGGAATTACATACATTGGAAGATTTCGTTGTTCAGTCTCTCGTGGTGTGACTCACTTTGATGTAATTCATGTGCACGTGACAGATGTTCTCAGAATAAAAAGTTAAGATTTCTATCTCTACTCTGCAGTGGGGCTGGTCATGTGGAATAGATGCCTGAGAGCTTTGTGGAAATAATAAGCATCATTTTCGATGTCTGCTACAATGAAGCTGGCCTGTAGCTGCAGCCTCTGGATGCAACTGTAATATAAGGACCCAATAAGAATAATAACACGCACTATAAAACAGGTTCTCAGTAAAAGCCATACAGTGAATTACTATAAAAGTGCCTGAAATGTAACAGAAATTGAACAAATGTGGCAATTTAAATATCCCAGTATTTTATGTATCATTAACAAAAGCTACTATTTCTGCTTAGAAACACGTTTTTTTGTTCCACCACCTTTCAAATACCTCTTGACCTAAGAATCAAAGCAGGAAAATGATCTCAAACTCTCAGAATGCAGTTTTTCAAGTGTGATGAGTTTCTGTATAGCCACCATAAAAACATGGAGGAAAGCAGGGTCCAATTCTTTTCTCTGGAGAGAAAACTTACGGGAATTAGATGTGTCGGACATTGAACTGATCTCCTGATTTTCCAGTTTCTGAAGCATACCCAACACAAAACTACCAGTAACAAGCCCCCATGGGGGTGTGGTATTTCACATGAGCTGCTAGACACTATGATGTTACCTTCTCACTTACCTTTGCTCACTCTTCACAAGTATCTCACTTCATATTTCATGCATCTTTTTAACATATTTAGTGTCAGAAGTAAAGATAACTTCCTATTTCCTTTTCCCAGTTAAGAAAAACACTTTCAATCTGAGATTAGTCTTGGAAAACAAGGGCAGCAAAGATTAATAAATAGGAAACAATCAGAGAAGTGTGGTTGATTGTAACAGCCTCAGCAAAAATCCATCCAAAGAGAAGCCTACTGCTGTTTTCTTTTCATTCCCTGGCTTCAGAGCTGGAATGCAAAGTACACCAAACTGAAGAGGGTTACGTCTGCAGTAACAAAAGCTAGATCTTTAATTTAGTGGTACCTAACACAACTAGAGGGCCTTTGGGCTTACTCCAAGAGAAAGTACAACAAATTCTTAACCCAAAGAGAGTTACAATCCCCTTCATCCCTGACAAGCACTCTCATTCACTGCAGCTTCTCATTTAATAGGCCCTTGACTAAAAACCTTCTGTCTACAACCACTCTTGAGGTTATGGAAGTTTGCACTGAACAAGAAAAGAAAAATGACAGAACTGAAAACCACCCCCAGCAACCACAGACTAGCCCAGCCTGACGGAAAATAAATGGTTTCTGACACAGGGAATGGGATTGTCTCAACTTCTCATTTGGAAAGGAGCATTTGAAACATCAGGAAACAAAGACCTGGTAAACAGAACCCAATGGTATTCGTAAGAGTAGAACATTCTTCTTATTTCCCCTTTCCCTTGTCATATACAACACTAAGGTAAAGGAAGCCTTGTCCTTTATGCTACATAAAACATCCTTCTTGAGCGCGCACAGCCTTGTGCTTCTTGTGTGGTAAACATTACAATGGAGATGCCCCTCCCAAGTGCAAGTTCTCTCCAGTACTGGACAGTAACAATCGTAACGATCGCTGTTATGCTTTGCATTGCGTTACAGGTTGGTTTTTTTTTAGTTTTTGAAGGTCTTATCTGCACCATGGATCTGGCCCAGTTCCAGCTGATGCAACCGATGTGGATCATGAGTTCGTATATAAAAAATTTCAGTTTTGCTCACAGGTGTCTCTCAGATGGAGAATACATACAGGGAAAACAAGGATGGATGAGGATATATTTGACCAGCTCCTAGTACTGGATTCAGCAGTTAAGAAGTAAGATGGGCTGTGAATTGATTTAGAAGATGTGGGCATATAAAAGCTTGGAATGCTTGATGAGTTTTTTTTTTTTATTTTTTAATCAACGTAGGTGGAAGTAAACATTTATTAACATTTGGTCAAGTGTAGTGTAACTTGCATTTGTATTTTCATTGTTATTAATGGAGGTATGTAGAGATATACAGAAACCTTGAGACAGTTGTTTTTCTATTGCATACAGACTAGCAGTCCATTGGAAACAGGATGAAAGCATGAAGGTTAGATCTTAGAGGGCAGCAGTTCTTCATGCACAGCTTTTGTCAATCTTGATTTGTTTGTTTGTTTTGTTTTCAAAAATAAAAACATGGGAAACCAAGATCAAATGATGGTGGACAGGAAAAGGTGACATCATCAGCCAGAAATATACCAGAAGTGCCTCAACCCCCTCATTCAAGTCCAAAGGTGCTAGTTTCTTCAACAGCTGTCAGCAGCTTTTCATACAGCATAGAATAGGAGGGGTAAGGTGGAAGATCCAAACGGTTGAAACACGTGTGCGCCCTGCAAAAGGAAAAGATGCTAAATGTTAAGTGTAATCTAAATAACTTGAGAAAATCAGAATTGACAAAACAAGTTCCTACTGAGACTCAAGACATTCAAGTTTGTTCACGAGAGATAAAAAGAGATCCTAACTATTAAAGTAAAACTTGAATTCTGCCAAAATCTGAGGTACTGAAATGTATATGCACGTACACATGAATATTTCAAATAGAAGACATGAGCTAAGTATCAACATAACCTAATTCTCTGCTATCCCTGCATTAGATGTTGCAGGGATCTTCGTGGAGAAGAATGCTGGAGGTCACTGAGGAGTTAGGGTCTAGGGCCTGACAGACAGAAAAGTCCACTACTATAATTTCAGTTGCTTTGAATTTTTCCAAAAAAATCCAACTCATCTGAACATCGAACATGAGCAGCTACTCAGTTTTGCACCAGTGGACAAGCAGAATGTGATGAACTATACAGACAGAACGGGCTCAGCATGTGTTTAGAGCGAAAGACCATTCAGGGCTGTGCTAACTGAAGAAGGAAGGGTGCTGAAAACGTTCCTGTAAGTCAGCTGTTGGCCATCTGCTGCATGTCTGGCCTTTAAACTTTATTTATTTGTAGTAGCCAAGGCAAAAGCAAAATATTTTGTGCAGAGCAAGCTGCCAACTTGATGACCCTCTCTTCCCCCAGTTCTGTCATTATATTTACCCCCATTTGGCAGCACCTTCAAAAGAAGCCGTGGAACGGGTTCCACGCATGCCTCCACCTTGTTGCAGCTTTTCTGGTAGCAGCAATCAGACCCAGATACAGACTGCACTTCACTGTGTGAGGTGCTGCACAAATGTGGAGCAAAGAAACAGTCCCTGCCCCAACAGTTCACTCATTTCAAACTGACTGAAAAACTGTAGAGCTCACTCAATGAACAGGGGGACACATTTTCATTAAAATGGTTTCATTTTTTTCAGTCAGCTTAGAGTTTTACATGATGCGAGAAAGATTTGCTTCCTCTTGCTCCCTTCGAAAAACGTGAATTGACAAAACCCTACAGAAGGACGTGTAGCCTCAATGGCTAACAGTGTCTAAGCTCCTGGCCCCTAGGATTTTTAGAAGCTATGAAGTTGTTTTAGCTTTTCTATCTCCTACTTTAATTCAAGTTTATTTCTTCAAAACTGAACCAGAAGAGCTGTCTTGAAGAAACTACTTGAAACCATGCTAGTCATCTCTTGAGGCCACCCACAAAGTGAGAAAAACATGATAGTGGTAGATGGGCTGGCCTGAGACTTGCAGATTCAGAAGGAGAGTTTTATCAAGCACCACTGGTGAATCGTTAAAAGCAATCAGGCAACTGAAATAGCCAGAGGCACGTAATCTTCACTGCATCACACAATTTCAGTTAGGAGAGCTTTTCCCATCTTTTCCCCTTCTGAATGAAGATTTGTTAGCTAGTCACTCTCAGAGAGTGCGTACAATAAACACAGAATATGCGGAAATGAGCTGGGAACACTTGAATTAGTGAAAAAAGAACATTAACAAAGCCATTATTTAATAAATCTCTTGAAATTAAACATGGCAGCTCATGCATATTACCCGTGAGTAGCCCTGCGCTGTTTATTGTTATCTCAGCAATCTTTGGCAGCCTAAGTTGTTTCTACAATCCATTGCCAATACGTAGCAACAACTGGGAGTTAATTAACTGAAGGGTTCTTGTAGCCCATTCAGAACGTGTTCATCATAGGCCAGAGAGCACCATTCAGAGCCAGCCCATCCTGAGGAGCTCAGCTGCCTGGCTCCAGAACTGGGAGAAGCATAGTCATGGTGGCTCTGTTGTGGATTCTGTTAATATAACTTTGCTGAACCTAGAGTAATATCTCTGTGTGGTACTTAACCGTGGCACATTTCATTGTGTGAGACCACAGCTCCTCAGACATCGCTGTCACACATCCTGTTGTGTGGGGCAGACATATCCACAGCTACTGACTCTAGTATTTTAATTTCTTGCAGACATTCATCTTGATTGACCATCATCCATCTCATTTCATACTGGTTATGAAAAAACCTTGCAATGCTGTTGACTTTTAGTCATTTTTGACCTAGTCAAACTCAGAAAAAAGATCCATTCCTTTACCACTTATGAGGTTTATGGAAGTGGACTCTTCTGTAGAAGGTATCAAGGAATTTATTGTAGGGAGAAACTATTACAAAGAAAGGAAGAAAAAGCTAATGTGTCTAGAAACACTGAAGCATTTTGCCAAGCAACACTGTCATGTTCTCCAGTGCAACAACTTTACAGAAAAAAATCCGTTCACTCCAAAACCTGTCATCAAATCAAAACCAAAAACTAATTTTCAGGAGTGCTATGCTGGTTAGGTTTACACTTCTACCTACTGAAAGTGCAAAACACAATATATTGCTAAGGGCAAAACCGGAGTTCAAATTCTGGTCTGTGAAACTCATGTGAACCTACTGCAACTCCAATGATGCCAGTGAAGCCCACTCAATCTTACCACGTACTGATGTGCAAAATTGTCTACTCCACATTCAGGAATGGGTCTAATTGCTTGTCCTGGTTTTGTCTGGCTGCCAGCTAAGTTAAACTATCACACTGCCTCTTTGCTGCACAGGTCAGACCTGGTGTCTGCTTGTGTTACTGAACAACATATCCTGCCTCACCTGAAATAAGAGAGAAGGCTGACAGGGACTCCTTCTCATTCAGTGTTCCCTCTCTCCTCAGTATTGCAGTGCATAACACCTTTGCCTCTTGCAACTGAAAGCTGAAACCTTGATTTTCCAAACCAAACTAAAGACAAATTGCTGAGCCTCCAGTCTGTCACACCATGTCGCGGTGTGATACTGCAGTACAACACAGGGCAATTAAGAGGCAAGGATATTTTCCGTAACATCCGCTGTTGCCCGACTCTGTGCCTTGTCCTCCGAAGGCGTGAATGGTGCTGACCTCCTACTGCTGATCCCAGTGAGAGGCACTGCAGTAAGCATAATCCAGGACACACTTGCTGCTTTGTAGTACTGGCCTTGCTGCACATACTGGGGTGAGAATATTGCATCAGCAGTCCAAGAAACAGTCACTGCTATGAGAAAAGTCTTTCTTCCCTTGATTAAGCCTCCTACCACATCAGCCTGCTGACATTTGAGAGGGTGTTCATGGAGTGAGAGGTCTGGAGTAAGAATTAGATTGGTAAGAGCTTTTATGGAAAGGATTCTGGCTTCTCTAGAAGAAAATGCAAGATAAAAGCTGTGTAAACCAAGCCTGACCCTCACATGCCCTCATCCTCCAGTAAGTAAAGCAGTACATGGGCCACTTAAAACTTCATTCTTCCTGGCAGTCTGTCTTTATTGCTCAAAGTAGTTTTGGTGGGCCTGAACCTTTAATCTTGCTCACTGTTCACAGTGCTGTGCTATTTCTTTTAAGAATTCTCTCTAAAAATCATAAGCTTTTAAGATTTGTGCATTCTTCTTTTCTTTGTCACTTCCTTTAATCCTCATAATGATGAGAGTCCAAAGGCAGTAAATGTGCACAGAACCCCCTCTTATCTTATTTATAGCCTGAACCCATCAACTAAAATAAAACTTGCATTCCAATAACTGTGACTGTTCAGGCAGAAACTGGGCATTTCTGTTTTTCACATTGCTTTCTGTAGATGAACCCACAAACCCCAATTTGATCAACCTCAGGACCCACATGTGGGTCAAGTTTTGTTCCTTTTGTCTGCAAGAAGGAACACTTATATGCTGTCTGGGAGCCACTGCTTAATAGATGAATGTAGATTTGTAGATGGTATTTCTGTTGTATGTGAGAAAAGAGGAAAGAGAAGAGGGATGGGAGATAAAGAATGATAAAAGACAGCGAAGCACACACACTCAGTCCACTGGGAAAGACGGAAATTATGAGAACAAAGTTCTTTGTAGTCATACAGAATCTTTTTTTTAATTGCTATATGGGATTCTGGGTTGATTATCTCATCTAGTAGAGAGGGACAGAATTCTCTTACTGCATCAGATCTTTCCTAGCACTGGTAATTGTTATCATCCATAAACCAGAGACAGTATGGTGGTAATCACTAATATTACTCTGCTGAATGAAAATCTCTTGATGAAAGGGTAGTTACAGCTCAGCACTGATGGGGAAAGTGGCTTAATTCCATCAAATGTGGTTATTGGAATCAGTGGGATACATGCTGAGGTCCTTACTTAACCGACACTCAAACAGAAACAACCTTGGAGCTGACAGGAGTTTGGCCAGGCGAGGAGCGCATCCAGAAGATGTGGCAGTGGCATTTGTAGGCACTGAATGCTTTTGCAGGCTGAGGTTTTCAGAAGAGGGAACTGTTGCCCCCTATAGCTATAGTAGAAAACACTGACAGTTCTTGGCACAGGTCTGTTTGGGCCAGGAGTTCTGCTCCATTCCAGCTAGAAAGCCAGTGTCTGTTCATTAATGATTGATGGGGAATAAAGAATAAGTTCTTGTGAAACTACTGCTAAAACTGGTTCCGTGTTAAATATCTGCATGGCCCAGGAAAGGTAAAAGAGAGGCTTTCTACTTTAGAAGAGGCTACAGCTGGAAGAATTCTCCATCCATCCCTACTCAGGCAACCAGGTACAAGAAGTAAAATACGTAACTCCTTTAATTTGAGATAAATTTTTGCCTATTAGATAGGGAGAATAAAACTCAACCTTGATGAATGAGTGGTTGAACCTGTTGCCTATTCAGTGTTATTTCATACAACAAGCTACATCAGTCTGGGAGAAACCACACTGCAGATTTCCACTGACAGATCTGTGAATCTGTCAGTCTCTCTGGAACCATCATCTAGATGACCACTGGGTCATCATGTAGAGATCTGAGATTAGAGCAGCATCTCTGAGATGTATAGTACTTTGACTTTCTAATGTGTGTGGACTCAATTTCAGATAGGAATAACGTGTCTGGTACACACACACACACTCCAGAAATAAACCACTGGCGTAATCTAACTCTTGTCTTACATGATCATATGACACCACCATCACCCTGTTCATGTAGGGGACTGGTACTGACACACAAGTGCATCGATTTAGAATGAAGTAACCAGATTCTCAACCTTCCTGAAACAGTCCTGCTTATCCTCAGTGCTTTCAAGAAGCACTCTAGGCATTACATATTAGTGGTTATTCTTTGAAAAGTGTTGCATTTTAGCAATTTACACTATGCTACTTTTCTGGGAGTGGCACGTTGCTGTCACCAGTGCAAAGGCAGGGCTGGTTTAGGTATTAGCACATCTTCGCAATGGCAGCTGCACGCTCCATTGCCAAAGTGTAAGGAGAAGATGTACAGGAGAGTCACCTAACTACGTCAGCCAACTGGAGCAGGAGGGAGGGAACAGAGAGAGAGTCCTGGGCTCTCCTGATAGAGCTAAAAATTATCTCAATGCTTTGTAAAGCAGCTGCGAACCCAAAGGCCAGACTGACCTATCCCCAGCGACCCACTATCTACCTGGATGTCAGGAAAGCCAAACGCATCGGCTTTACACAAGCTTCCCTAACACCTCTCCCAGCATCGCCTTTATTGGGCCAGGGCCTAAGAGCTAAGGCCAGTAATTAAGAGGTGCAACCCACACCTAAGCACATAAACAACTAAATCTGATGATTGCCAAGACATGAGAAAGCTGAGGGTTGGTTTTTTTTTCCTAGGACTTTGAAAATGTGGAGCAAGTGTAACTCTGACTGTGAAACAGGAGGAATTGTTAGAAGGGCGAGGAATTTGTTGTGGTTTATTTTAAACAGCTAAAGTTAGTTACAGTCATATCACAGGGGCCAAAAGGCCTACAGGATATGACATAGGACTTTTTTTTAGCCTCTAAGTCTAAGTAAATACGCAAGTAAATCTAAATAAACACAAGCAATCCACAATCAGGCATTTAAAAAAAGTTTAAAACAACATTTATTTAGTTGCTTAACTAAGGATTTAGGGAGCCTCCAGGTTTAGCCTGTGTTTTATGTATTTCTTAACACCGTGTGTATACTTGGCAGCACCCCATAATTTTATAAAAATGCAAGTAATAATTCAGGGTGATCAAGCTGTGTTTATTCCCCATGAGCAAGTGTTGTTTCTCTTTCCCCTGGCTAAAATGAATGCAGAGCTCTAAGACTTCTAAAAGGTGCTAACAACTTTCACCTGGAAAAGAGGCCCCTTTCAGGGAGAGCAACAAGTTCAGTGATCAGCAGACATGAAGTCGTTAAGGTGAATATCTCGGGGCTAACTGAATCTAGGCCATAAGTAATGCCTAGGTTCACAAAGAAAGTTAAGCAGAGCAGAAAGAGGCCAATTACCTTTTCAGAACTTGATGGGTCAGCCCAGGGCATTTTCTGTGCGCACACCAAGGCCCACCCTCCCCTCTCACCCCTTTCCATCCCAGAAGGAGTGCAAAGAGAGCTCTGCAGAAATGCTGCCCAAATCTGTGACTTCCACTTGCTGCCTGTCCACAGACAGGAGTGCCCTTGGTCAGCTCTGAAACCTTGACATGGAACCAGACTATAAATACGCTGCAAAAGGAGGATCAGGCCTACACGCAGCAAACTGGAGCTCTCAGGCTTGCTTTCCACATCGCTGGCTGAAGCTCAGAGGGTGCGAGCCATCTCACTGACCTTACGTGTTTTCATCAGGTTTTAAATCTCAGTGCCTACATCTAGCTTTCATGTAGGCTCTAGTTCTCCATACAGTCTCTTGTAGAGTCTTTATAGTTGATGGAACATAAATCAGAATGTAGCAGGTGTGATTCAACTATTTTAAAAGTCTGTGCTCAGGTGAGATGAATTGTGCCTTAAATACACTTACTTCCCTTTTCCCCACTTCAGAGGGAGCCCACCTAAGATGCCAGCTCAGAATGTCTGCTGATGCAGTGCCCCATCCAGCTCCTGTGTCTCCCTGCTGCAGAAGCATGGATTTGAGCAGGCTTGTACTAAGAGGGTGACCATATTTGGACTTTCCCTCTCCAGAGGACTCCGGAGGTCTGGCTCAAGTCCGTGTTTTATAGCATGCTTCTGGGTAAACAACATAGATGGCAAGTAGCGAGAAAACTGGACCAGACCTGTTGTTAATAGATTGTCTGAATGTATCTGCGATGTCTGTGAGAAGAGATTTTTGCTCTGTGCTGTGAAAGTAGCCTCCTTTGGCCCGCAGCTGATGGTAAGAGCAGGAAGAGGGCAAATGGTATGTAAAAGGGTCATGTAGCAAAAGCATCTCAGAGGTGCTGAGGTGCAGCCCCACGAAAAATGCTCTGTAATCTCAATGGGCAGAACCTCAGGCAACAGTAAGGACATTCAAAAGAAGGTGACTCAGGTCAGTGAGGAAGGATGAGTGCTGGTCAGGGATAAACTGCTGCAGCAGAACTCAGAGCTGAACGTATCGCTGGCTGTGCTGTGGCTCTCCTGGGTGGCCTTAGGCAAGTCAGACCACTCCTCTGTGCCCCAGTCCCTTCCTTCTGAAAAGGAAGATGACCCCTCCTTTGGGAAGCACTGGGGAGTCTGTAGACTCTATGACATTGTGGCTCATTTGCTGCTAGCTGGCTGGCTGAACTAGATGGAACAAATAGGGTATTATCACCACATGGTCTGAAGTCCTTTCGCTAAGCTTCCTCGTGATGAAAAAATGGAACCATCCGAGCAAGTGAAGGGATTACACTCGGGTCTCTGGCCAGAATTCAGAGACAGATTCTGGTTTTCATGGCTCTGTAAACTCACAAGTATTTTTACTAGTACTTTGGAAGTAAAGGGAACAGAATCAGCTGACAGGGTCCTGCTGGTCTGGAGCTCTTCCAGAAGCAAAATAAGAGAACTAGGTTTGGACCTATGGAAATCTTTATCTTAAATATTTCCCAGGATTAAGACTAGTTTAAACTGAGCCTGCAAATCAAAAAGGCAGCAAAAGAAAACACTTTTCTCCAAACATAATTATAGAACAAACTGGCAATTGTTTCTGTGCTGTTTTAAGATGTCCTTACCACTTTCATTATCTTTCACTGGCAGAGATGCAACAAAGTCTCAGGCTCACCTTTCTCACAGCACTTGTGGTTTTGTATATCCTAGTTGGGACGTACCTTGGGAGGGAGGTTATTTTCCCCCATTTCTCTATACAGAAGCGCCGTAGCCCATTGCTCCCTCGGAGAGCTGCAAAGCCCTCGTAGGGCACGCTCGATGTTCCAGTGACAAACTGCAACAACCGGAGTCTCTGCTCGTTGTTAAATCTCTCCACTGCTGCCCAGAACCACCGTATTACTATGTGTCCATCATGGTAACCTAAAGCAAGAGGCAAGAGAGAGAAATTAAAATCACTCCCTCTAAGTGGGTAGTGTAACATTGAAATATGTTCCCATTAGCATGGGGCAGTAGATCTACTGAACAGATCCTGACCTAACAGTGTATCTTGTTCTTGATGAGCAGTAGGTCCCAGCCCCACCATCTTGCCCTGGCTGTGGTTACCATCATATTACTAACTCATTCGAAACCCTGAAATTCAAATATACATTTGAGGTACATTGGACTGTCACAAATCCCTTGGCACTGGGGATACATGCATGAGGTATAAAAGATCAATTGCGATATGCCACACAGTGTGAGTCCAAATGACTTAATTTCTGGTTCCTAAATAAATTCTTTTTTGCATTTCAATAGTGTTCAACATATGGAGAGGAGTTTGCTGCCACAAGCCCTTCCCTGGCAAACTTTGCACCCGAGGGGCTCTGTGCCTTGGTTTGTGCTGGTGAAAGCCAGCAAAAACCCAGGCTGAATCTGTTTCAGTAGCTAAACAGAAAAAAATATGAGGAGAAGAACTTGGGGGACCAGCTGTGCTTGTGGTGACCTGCGTATTTCAAGGTAACACAAAGGCTGGGCAGTGAGCAGCAAAGACTTAAACCTTGTATTTCAGAGGAGGCTATGTGAACCTCAGGGACTTCCCTTTTGTAGTGCAGAAGTGGTGGATTTCACATTTATCCATCATCCAAGATAGCCTGGATAAATGATGCTCAGTGTTCACAGCACAACCAGGCCAAGCAGTAGAGAAGAGGAGAAAAAACCCAACTTGACATAGTTTAGGCTGAGGGGAGGGATAAGCAAGATCTGTATTTTGTTGAAGAGTATTTGGGAGCCGTGAAATTCAGCTCTTGAATTGAGCTCCCTGCTGAAGCCAAGAGGATTTGTGATATTACTTTGAGGCCAGGAGTTCATTCAGAGTCAGCTGAGTAAGTAACTATTACACCTAATAGTGCAAATCCTTTTCAGTCCTTAATAGTCAACGCTCCTGTTAAGTTGGTAGGAACCGAGTGGATGAAATCTGGACAGAAGTAGCAATTTCAGTATTATTACATCTGTTAATCCAAACCTGAAATCTTACTTATTCTATGTCAAGAGTTATTCTTCACAAAAACTTCCTGAATAAAATAGGGCATTTCCCTCAGGAAAGACAGAAGCAAAAGATGGACCAAGTATTTCATGTTTTAGACTGAAAACATTTATGATATTAGGAAGCATCAGCAGGCAGTTTACCTCCACGATATTCTGTGTTGTTTCGCCAGTCATTGAGATCTATTTCTGCGGTGCCAGCTATAACCAGCTCCAGCTCTCTGGCATCAAAAACAGAGACAAGCCTGGAGTCTACAACCTGGAACAAAAACCACTTGTAAGCACAGTTTCAGGCTGGAAATAAAGCAGATGCGATGCCTTGTAAACCTATGGCTCTGACAGCCAGCTCTTTATTCTGAGGAAGTCTGCATGCTGACAGCTAACTTCCACTCCTCTGCTGATAAACCTGTGCTGCTCTTCAGAGAGTCTGCTGGCGTTTTGAGCTGCAAACAAGGATGACACATGAGATGTGACCAGAGTGAAGCGATACAAGTGACGGGACATAATCTGTGCAGAACGTTCTTCGTTGTTACATTCAGTCTGACAAGTGATTTTGATAGTCAAAGACTGGATTTGTGATAGGAACAATTAATTCTATATTTGTTCCACATTGGAATTTGATTACAGTTGTGTAGGAGTGCCCTCAGGTCTTCAAGCACTGAAGAGGCAGCTGAGGTTCACTTTCTTCATTAGGTGAAACCAAAAGCTTTAACAGCCTGCAGTATTCACAGGGAGAACAGGCTGGTGAACCATGTGCACGCTTCAGTAAACTGTACGGAGCTGCTTGGCCAGCCCCTTTCTACAGGAAAGACCAAGTCTACTCAACTACAAAGCCACCCTCACTGGCTTCCACCCCCAGTAAATGTCAGTGCACAACTGCCTGGAGCCATTGGTTACCAGTACTATTCTGTGTGCCCATTATTTGCTGTTTCCCTCTGTGAGACAGCTCTCAACTTCTACTTATATTATACAGCTGCCAGGGCAAGATATGTGTTTGAATACGATTAGTAAAGGGGGAAGAATAGGTGACTACATGGCTTGGTCAGCAAAGCCACAGGTTTTCATCCAATCTTTGGCAGTCCTTGTATAGCAGCTCTGCCAGAAGGATGTTCTCAGATCCAGGTCTTCAGCAAAGATAACTCAGCAAAATCTTTCTTAACTCCTGACTGTTACGCTTTATCATATTCAGAATACACATTTCTTTCCTTTCTCCCTTAATGCTGAACATGTCATTGCCAAGGTGTCTGTCTCTACAGATCCATACACTCCAATTTCTTGCCATCTGTGTCTGTTTAGCTATTTCCTAGGCCATCTCATTCCGATGAGGAATGGAAGACTGTGGGAGCATGTTTTGGTACTTACTTCGTAGAAGCCACGGACCAAGGCCTCTGTCTGCTGACCCACTCCTCGTTCCACTCGCCACTTAACCATTCTCTCAATGTACTCCTTTTTGTTCTTTTCTGTCACTGCTGTATTTGCCCCTCCAGATTTCAGCTCCCTCTCTGTCACCTACAGAACAAAGACAAATGGCGTGTTTCAAATTTAAGTTGTACTTTGAAAACAGAAGTCAAAAATCTAACAGCTATATTTCTAGTTCTGGCCTCTTCTCCATTTGCAGTGGAAATAAAAAGGATAACGAGGGACACCCCCTCAAATACAGTCACTGGGATTCAGAGTTTTGTATCAGCCATCCAAACCTGCAAAGTGTTTGTACTTTAAATACCTATTTTTTTTAACTAAGAGCTAGAGCATTTCATTGCATTTTAATGGTTAATTTCGCTGGCTTGGGTTACAAATGCTTAAGATTGAGAGGGACTTAAGGAATCAATCTAGATTTTATGCATCATGCACATACTCCTCACATGGGACAGAAAATAATATTTATCTTGCAATTATTTTCACATTCAGTCTAGTGGATTTAAAAGGAAGAATGTTTTGCTCTCCTCTTCAGGTTTCTGCTGCTATAACAATGATGTCTAATGCAGACAGTAAATGAGCTGCATGAATACATATTCATTATTTGTAGTATTTACGTATTATTTATATTATTATCTATTAGCCCAACAGAGAGCGCACAGCATATAAAATATTTAGGTCACTTTGCTTGAGGGATCTGTTGTAACATTATGAATTATGGAAACACTCCATGAGTCATCTAATCTGTAGCTTTGTTGAGAAACAGCAAGAACGAGTAAGGTTGGATGTAATGAGTTTGGAATTCTTAGCTGGATCAGGTTAAATTCCCAAATGCAAATCACTGCCTCACCATTATACAAGCAACACTGCATCGTCCAGAGGGTCAGACTCTGGCCCAGCTGCCACGCTGTGTTCTTCAGGATTGTGTGGCATTAAGATACATCTGTCAAAACCAAAGACTAAACGTAGTCTGGCTTTAAGCACAACCGTAAGTCCAGCTGTTCTACAGCTCCTGCAAGACCTCCCACAAACACCTAGGCGTGCTGGTGATTTCTTCAACTTCTCATTATCCATACAATTTTGAATACAATTAGTTATCTAGAACCAGAGGCAGGCAATCAATAACAGTGTGTCCCTATTTTTTCTTTCTTGCTGATAGAAGCATTAACCACAGCTGTGAGCTAGAGTCCAGAATCGGGTTTCAGAGCAGCAAGGAGACACTTCCACCAATCTAGCCCATTCCTGTTACCTGACTACAGCAACTGCCAGGGCTTGTGAGACAGGCTGTATCCACACAGAGAGCTCGGAGACAGGCCTGAACAAACACTTTCTACTGGGTAAAAGCATGAGAAAGTATTTCAGGTCACAAGCAACTGACACCTTTCTCTGTCTTGTAAGTTAAATTCTTTGCTATTGCAGCAGAATGCTCCGGGCTCCAGTATGCCAGAAGGCTAGAACTCCTCAGCAGTAAATTCTAATATAAAGGTACCAAGAAAGAGGATTTGGCCTGAAAGGCTTAAAAGCTAAATACACGCCAGAGATGAGACAAGAAAGAATAAATGAAAGAAGTAGTGACCATCCACAATAAAGTCATTGTGGAAGCAGGACAAGAGGGCCGCAACCCCTCTACCACACAGCTTCTCAAAGAGCCGCTATTTCTTGTTTCCCTTACCCAGCTCTTGAAATCCAGCTTCCCAAATATTAGCAGAACTCCCACTGTGATCTACCCTTGCGCATGTATCCAGCAAAGCAATGCTCAGATGGCACTTAAGTGGCCAGATACTCTCAGCATGCAAGAATTTCCAACTGGGACCTGTCTGTGAGCATAAATGTGACTGCGCTTTCTTGGTTATTTTGCTGTCAGCACTTAGCAAATTTCAGAAGGGGAACAACCTCACTTTCACTTAGGGCTCTTGGATTCTGACAGTTGTAATTCTGACAGCAAGAACTATTTTTTCCCCATCACTAGATCTAGTAAGGTTAGCGTCTAGTACGTATGAAATAAAAGTACTAGACAACATGTGAACCGGCATCAAAATCTGGCTTTTAGTCTTCTTTTGCTTTCTTATCATGGTATCTACAGCAGATTGTGGTCTTTTTCTGTTCTCTTTGGAGACATCTCTTATCTTCCACAACAGAATCCTAGGTAATTGTCTAGCTCTTTTCTTTGGGGCCAGGATAATGGGAAACTACTCTGTCAAATGTTACCTTCAGATGCATCAGGGCAATTCAGGCTGAGATTCTTATTCATCTTTGTAGCCTTCCAATGTAAATACAAACTTGTCTCATCTGTCTTTGTGGAGATGTCTGTAGGTTTCTGTCTGTCTCTGTGTATTGGTCTTACACAGCCATACCTTCCAGGGAAACCACTGTACTGGCAACTGAATGTCACACAAGCTCACAGCTCAAAGCCCGTGAAAAACCCCTGCATTTCAGTCTGTAGGAAAAGTGTTACCTTTCCTACAGACGCTTCTTACTTCTATTCTTCTGCCCCACGCTTTTCATTTCATCCACGCTCAACTCTGCTCATCTGTCATGACCTTGTACTATAAGCAGACTAAATTCAGTTTTGAAGATATCCCCTGAAGTCTCGTTTGCTTTCTTTTACTTTCAAGCATATAGTAGAGCAGCCCTTTTACTCTCAGGGCCAGAATTCCTCCCCTCAGAAACTAACCCTCCCCTAGTTCTGTGCAAACCCCTCCTGTCAACTTGACTTTCAAGGGCTGAGAGTCATCTTCTGTATGCTCCACCCAATTCCTCTGCTCCCTTTGACACTGTGTGTCTTCTCCTTACACAAGCGAACTTCCATCCCTTGAGCTTCTGCAGTACTTGGTGAGCTTGGTTCTTCAATATCTCTTATCTTTCAGCATCTCCTTGGAGGTCCTTAATCTTGGTCTGAATATTGCTTTGGGTCAGGACTTTACAGAGACAGTTATAACCCAGCACAGGTTACAACAGCAAAGATCACCGAGGCTTCAGTGCAAGCCAAAGAATCCCACAGGAGACGCTTGTTCTGGTTGCTGGTCTGCACTTAGGCCGGGGTTGTGCCCTATGTAAGGCTGTAATTATCCAGATGAGTGAGGCTGAAAAGAACTCTCTGACTAAGGTAGAGTTGAGAAGTAGGAAGCACAATAGATGTACATACTAAGTTGTTAAGTAGGAAGCACATAGATGTACATACTAAGTTGTTAAGTAGGTGCAAGGCAAGAGAGACAGAATCTAACAGAGAGACATCAGACAAAAAAAAAAAGTCGTGAGAGTTGCTGGGTCTTACACCACCTGCCAAACGCTTTTGTTCCCTCCTAACCCACCCATCCTTTCAGTCACATCAGCTTCAAGTTACATTGCTTGCATTCGCCGAATGCCACATCTGTGTGAACTACACCCTGGAGAGAAGGAGCTGCACTCCACTCCAGAGAATTCCTCATGCTCATCAGTGTGTGGCTCAACAGGCCTGTAGGGGGGCTGGGGTTTTATACTATACACCCTAAGAATAAACATCTGCATTGAAACAGGTGGCTTGAACGAAACAGAAAGTAGAAGAAGAAAATGTTATTGAAAGGCTGAAGGATCTGTTCTGACAGAAAGATGTTCATCATCCTCAACAATGTCAGCTTCAGATTTACTTTTCAGATGTTTTGCATAGCTGTGCTCACCTGTCCAAACACCTCTTCGTTCACTGTGAAGGTGAGATCCAGGATATCTGTGATGTTATTATCCTTCATCCACTGCAAGCTCTGATGAAACTCCTCATCCAGGTACTCCAGGTCGCTTAAATCACACGGCCTGATTATGAGGCAAGAAAAAAGGTGTAGCTGAATATATGACCCCACGACTATTGGCAGGATGACTTACTACTAAGAACGTGAACAAGTTTATGCCGGAGATCCAACATAAAGCTGGAGTTTGTTTGGTTTTGTGAACATCAAAGCCTGTCACACAGACCCTCTTAAAGCAGTTCTGCGACTGTCTGCTTTGCATGGCTGGGCTCAAGGCCACATCTGCTGGCTGCCTGCACTGTTTGCTGTCGGAAGGCACCCCTGGGGCGCAACTTCACATGACTCTTCAGGATGCCATACACTTCAGAGCTTACCTTCAGTCCGGATGGGCCCAGCCATGTTGTGCCTGGCTGCTCCCATGTATCTGTCATCCTCGAGGAGAGCACACAAGACTGACATAAAGCAGACCAGGCAACCTAAATTTCTGCTAATAAGGAGCCGCCCTTCTTTGCTGCAAGGGCAGGTGGATGTTAAGAGCAGTCTGGTTTCGCATCCTCTAAAGGGACAATAAGGATGCGGGAGCACTTTAGGTGTCAGGCTGTTTCCAGACTAGCTCAGATACAACATAGATGTGAACGCTGGGACCCCAGCAATACTCATTGTTAAAAAAATAAAATTAAATACAGTTAAAGAACTCAAAGGACTATTATGACAAATATCTTTGCTGATTTGGAATCATCCCAAGTGATAAACTATTTTGGCGAAGCTTTATTCTGCTCTTTGTCATTTAATTGCAGTCTTGACTTACTACTTATGATTTTCTTATTGCTACAAATTTTATGTACGTTGTCTTATTGTAGTCTTTTAATTAAAGAGGGACAGATTGTGAATTGAAGTTAACCTTATAAACTTGACATTGATAGTAATATATTACTGGTAGCTTTGGCTTACTAGTGTAAAAGACAGTAGAAGACCAACATGAAACATTCACTGTTTATATCTACATTAGCATTCCTAATTAATCCGAGCTGTGTTTAGAATGAAAACCTACTCCACCAGTGAGGCATGAGAAATTATGTATTTTTCTTAATATGACCCCTCTCCCTTTTCTGTTGTTTTTTGGTTTTGCTCCATTAAAGATGCTTTGCAGTCTTCCACGTATCATTTTAATTGCTTTGATAGCTTTTTATCAGTACTAAACTCTGGAATTATGGGTCAGTACTTTCAAAGGTGTGTTCCTAAATGTCATACTCATTATGCATTTTTATCAACAGTCAGTATGCATGAAAGGGCAAGTTCTTGGAGAAAGTAAAGAAAAATTAAAACATGTTTGTTTTCTACCACAGATCAACCAACAAACAGCGGAAAGGACTTGGAGGTCAGAGCGCTCGAAGCAGCTCCACGAGGGTCTGTGTCTCTGTAGGACTCACGGCAGGTTCACTGTTTCTGCATGGCCTCTGCATGCTTATACTTACAGCCTTAGCAGCGCTTTGTAGAACGGCCTCGTGAAGAAAGCATCGAGAAGGTACTGATGGATGAGAGCAAGGCCAAGAATACGACCGCTGAACCTGAACCTGGGATATAAAAATGCAGAGGAAATTAAGTAGAACTCAAGACATTCAACATAGAAACTTACACAGGTAACAACTGTTGGGTTTTTTTCTGACTTGGTTTCTTAACGATAATTAATTTATTTATTTCTTCCAAGCAGATAGCACCCCTCACACCTCCAATCAATAATGGATCTCTTCTTGATCCATCTCCGCCAGTACCCATACATGCAGCTGGCATCTCATATGCTCTCCCATACCAAACCAATAAACACTCTGAAGACTCACCTTGTGTGATCTTTAGTTGAACGTTCTGATACAGACTGACTCCATCAAACACAATACTTAGCCAGTGAAATACTGTAATACTCCACCTCGGCTGAAAACATACTATCAAAACAGCTACTCAGGATATTTGGTGAATGAGTATATCCCGTTTCCAACTGGTTTCAACACTTTCCAAAAGCTTTAAATACTTTAAAAGGGTCGTGAGTTACAGGGAGGAAACTGAAGTTCAAATAAGTCAACTGTTGTGACCAAGGACACATTAAAACCAGTATCCAAAGCTCAGGCAAGCTGTCCCCAGACCACTTTGTTAATGCTGATGCTCAGCTGTCTTCAGTATTTACTTACTCTTGTGTTTGCTTCTGTTTTCTAAGAACAGCAACCCCTAGGTCTGCTCCAAGTACACTCAAATAGTGCCCTGACTATTACAGTCTATGACCTGTGATGATAAACTGTTAATTCTTTCTTTCTATGATTTCTTCTGTGACTTATTAGCTATTCTTCCATCAAATATGGTTTTAAATCAGTAATTTCAGACAGTAAAATACAGAACTGGTGTGAGGCCAGGTGAGTTTATTTGTAAAAACAATCCCCACCACCCATCCAAAACTTGCTTATTTGTAAAAAAGAAAAAAAATACAACATCCCAAATGTGAGCTCTCCAAGCCTGAGCTGACTGACATCCTAGTAAAGTTTTATTGCACAAAAGATAAGAAACAGATCAAAAAGCCAAGAAACCATTCCTTCCACTACATGAACCAGTGCAAAGACCCCTCCCTGCACACGAATGAAACGTGAGTCTCATTGTCATAAAAGCGGCGCAGAATATCCATTCAGTCAACTTTACGCTCGTGGGACAGAACAACAAGTGCTTAGTATGTCAAACGGGGCACAAAATAGTGTGCTGTGGGCCCAATTAGCATTTACATCACCACAGGAGCTGCCTCCGGGTCCCCTGCATCCAAGAAAGGTGCTTATGATACGCAGCTGCCTGGGAACAGAAGGGTGATTATATGAGTCCCTTACAGCTGGTTCCACAGCAGCAACAAAAGGCAGCTGTTGGGTCTAGTTTGGACCTGCTTCACTTCACTTGTGCTCCGCTGCAATGTTTCCAGCAAAAAGCCATGAAAAGGGGAGCTGACACAATGGAAGTACAGTGGAAGGCAGACAGCTCAAATCCCAGAAACGCTGAGCCTGTAATCCATCAGTTTTACAGCACCTTCGGGATCTATAATCAAGTTCATTTGTCCTAAATAATGCATGTCGGCTTTTTTTTGTCGTTTTGGTTTTGTTCTTGCCCACCTCCCTCCCCCATCCATCCCTACACATTCTGAAATACCATGAGCCCCGGGTGTTCCTCACCGCAACGCTCACCCCATGGCTACTCGTCTGTATGGGGCTGGGCAGGCAGGAACCATTTGGAATAAAGTAAAACTGCAAGTAAATTGCCAAGAAAAGCCTCACGGACCTGGGAACGCCGTTTCTGCTAGGAAATTGCTCGAATGTGTCAACAGTGGAGATCTTCTCCTTGCCACTTGTATCACTTCTGTACCTCTAACGTGGCTTTGAGGGCATTCACGCACAGCTGACACGGAAGGGTAGCACACCTGGATCCAGGTGTTTACAGTGTCGTGCGCATTAACGGCGACTTTTAATTTGAATCGGTGCCTTATGGCAGAACTGTATCAAACCATCCAAAGGCCACGGGCAGCATTTCTGTGTGAAAGCACCAAGTCTGGTGGGTCACCCTAAGCAAACGTGGGCAGAGCAACTCTAGGGTGTGCGGTCCTTCAGTCTGGCCTTGCGCTTACAGCCCTCTGGGACACATCAGGGCTCGCTCGCTCAAACTGGGGCCCTGATTGTGGTTCCACAGTCCCAGCCCTTGCAATGGTACCATGTAGAAAAACAGATCCAGTACTAACTGGTCTGGATAAAGGAAGTGAAATAATTAACAAGACATTGCTGCTGCTGTCAATATAATGGATGAAGAAGCTACGCTGCAGGCTGTATTTCTGGGCAGCTCTATATCACGCCAGCAGGCGCAGTGCTTGGTGGCCAAAGCATGTGAGCTCTCCAGCCCACAAACCCTTCCTCTCCTGCACACAGCTTTAGTATCTCTGCAGAGACTCGCTAGACCTGACTCTCTGATCTGAAGAGGGGTGTAAGAGAAGGTTCTCCGGTGCCTCATCCATTCTAGACAAGGCCTGGGACCACAGGGGACACCTCCGTGGTCCAGCAGTGCACTGAGAAACATGGACTGTGGTAAGTCAATGGCCACCTACCAACAGGGAGGCATTTGCTCCTGTCCTCAGAGCACAGTCTGTCTGTGTGTGCGTCCACCCAGCCCATCAAACTGCCACCACCATCTGCCAAGCAGAACAGTCCCACTTAAAATGCATCAAAACTTAAAAAAAACCCAACAAGAAACAAATTGTCCTCCTTACAAAAGCCAGGTAAAACAAAACCAGGCTTTTGTGTTTATTTCTTTCTTAAGGATTTAGGGCATGGGGGAGATTCAGAGGTGGATGAGACAGTCCTTTCAGAAAAAAATATGTTATCTTGACAGACTAAGCAGCACAAAGGTAAATCCTGGCTGGAGGGCACATACCTTCCTTAAGCCTGACTTACATTTATCTTTCCAAGGAAGTGTAAAATGCTTGTTCCATTTCTTTCTCGCAGGAAAGACAGCTTGGGAGAGGTGGGGAATGTGAAGTCTTGCTCTGGCCCTTTCTTTCAACACCCTTCCCTTTCCGAGACAGTGACTGAGTCTGAGTAATGTGCTCTGGCAGAGAGGGGGAACGCGGGAGCGAGTTAATGAACAGGAAATGGTGGAAGGAGAGACAGGATTAATGAGCAGGAGAGCTCTGGTTTGCCTGCCTATTGACACTGGTCAGCCACTCAAAAAAGGACATTGTGCACACCTGCTTTCTGGCTGTTAACAACACTACTCTGTGAGCCATTCGCACGAGTTTCCACTCTACCCAGCTAACTCCCTTTCCTTCTGGAGGCTGCAGGTGTCCCTGAAACAGCCTGTTTTCACAACAGCCTGTTGCAAAATAACAGGCTTGTTCTCCTCAGTGGGACTCTCCACATACTTACTGCGTGTCTGTGTACACAAGGAGAGACAAATCCTTACGCTGGAGCAGCAACTAAGCAATAAATTTTCCTCCAATTGCAGGTGAGTCACAGGAAATTTAATTTTCTCTGGTTCTTATCATATAGCAGCAGAGAAAGGCAGGACCCATAATGACCCTTTGTTACAGGGCTCTCTCTTAACTGGTTGAACAAACGCAGCTCTACTTTATGTGACAGCCCTTCCTTGGAGTCAGATGGAGAATGATGCACCTCAACACAATCGTAATGGATGTGTTTGGGGGAAGAATGGTTTTTATCATTCTGTAGGGGATGCTGCAGTAGCTGTGCCTGGTGGGCCAAATTGGCTATGGTATGAGAAACTTTAAATCCTAAATAGAGGAAACATCTGATGGGATTAAAGAGACTGAAAATCTTGCAAACCTTATCTCACTCAAACACATTAGCTGGGTTTAAAGTGCGCCCTTCTTGATGCAGTAGCTCGTGAAAAAATATTCAAAGGAGAGCTCAAGAGAGAGGAATAGAATGTGGTTCACATCAAATTGGAAAATGTCATTTTCCTTTCACCGGACTCCTGAAAACTCGCTTTCATCCGTAAGACAAATTTACACATTCTGTTGCACCAGTTTTAAAGTTTCTGACTGTTTAATGGTGCAGATGAACTTCTGACCACCTGAAAGACAAGCTGAACAAATGAGGCTGCACTGCAGTACAGGATTTCTGCCCTTGGCAGCTCTTCTAAGGCAGAATGATATTTGGCAGGTGGATGCAGCTGGAGAGCCCTGTTAGTGCTTCTGCAGCAGGAGAGATTGGACCTCATCTCAACCATTATTAGACACCAGAGAATCTAAAAGGGGGAAAGTATTTAGAAGGGCCCAGTCATGGGAAAGGCTTCACTCTGAACACGCATCTTATTAGACAACAGAGAATTCAGTCATGGAAGCCAAATTTCTAGGAAACCAGGCATCTTCGGTTCCAGAGGTTGTGGTACAGCTTGGTTTAAAGGACAGTTAAAACCTCCATTGTCATGAAGACACTCGTGAGCATCCTGCAGGCCAGAAACCACTGAATAAAGGAACAAAAAATCCATTCTTAGAGCCTAGAAATTGCAATTTGCAACCTTGTGATGTTGCGGGGCAGGGGGTGATGGGGACACAACACACAGGAAAATGTACTGACTCCTGATTTCTGAGTTTTGGTGGAATCACCAGCACTTGCACTTTTAAAATTTTTTCTTTTTTTTTTAATGCAATAAAGTTTTAAGTATGTGTATTTTCCAAAAAAGCTGACCCAATGGCTACAGCAACTCTGCCCGGCCTCATACACTCTGTATTTTAAGCAGAGCTGGCAGCAGTATGCAGCAGGGGCGTGTGTCTGTATGCTAGCAGCACATATCCTTGTGTTGGCTCAGTGCAGGACATGACCAACACGTCCTGTAACGAGCTCCATCTACAGAGCAATAACCCAGCAGCAGAGCAGATCATCTTCACAAAACTTTGGCAGTGGATCAAACCCACACCTCTATCAGCCTCCATCAGCAAATGCCTTTCTTTAGTTTGGTGTGCACATGTAACCCCTGCTCACATAAATGACAGGACATCTGAACGGACTGGCGCGATGACGTGAAGCGATCTGCTGTCAGAAAG